TCTCTATCCACCATGAAAAACCTGCGAAACGTGAAATTGAAAATCTTTTCTTTTTTCCTTTCTTCCTTTTTGTTTCCCAGAAAGAAGGAGAGAGGTTCTTTTAGGAAGATTTCTCATCTGGTAAATAATGAGGATGATGGATGGATTGAATTACCAAGTACCAAGGTGGAGTGGTTAAGACGAATGGAATTGAATCACGTGGAAGACAATTGTTAGTTATAAACTTGGATATACCATCGTACGGTAAAAGAATTTTAAATGGAATAATCGAGAATCGCATTGAAAAGTGGAAAGTTACGAATCGAAGCAAATGACGAAAAAAAAATCTCAATTTTTGATTCATCGTGAATGATCTTTTCTTTGCTCGAAGTAATCAAAGAATCATCCTTTTAATTTTTCTAGCCGAACGTTCTCCAATTCCTTCGTATTACAATGACAATTTATTTATTTAAACAATGAGAAAATAATATTTCAATATTTCAACCAATTGCAATCATTTCCACGTGTTTTCACAATGATAGTCATTCGCTCGTATAAAAAGAATATCACGAAGAACGAATGAACTTTCCAATTCACAATAACAACAGGCATAAATTAGATTCGTAATAATAAATGGAACCAAGCCTTAAAACTTATTCGTCGCGCGCGAGTCGAGAAAGCAACACAGCAATTTCACACGCAGTGCACAGTGAGAAGGAGTGAGGCATTGAAGAGAGACGGGGAGAAAATAAGACGGTGTCATTCGTGTCACCGTTTTTATGCATAAAAATGACGACGGTTAACACTCGACCGCGTTTAAATATCCGCCACATTTGCATTCTTCGTGGAACACGGCCTACGTAATATAACCGACAAAATAAATATTAACGAGTCGTATACCGCGTATAAAACTCTTTCCAATGTTTTTTCACCGACTAATATTTATAATTTAAATCGCAGAATCTGATAAAAATAGAAATGAAAATAGAATCATCTCCGAATATATCTCATTTTCTATATAAATTTTTAACTCCTTTCTCTACATCCGCTTGCTTTAAATTTATGAAAAACACTTTGTAATCTTTATACCCTCGATGATTCTACGAAAACGGGCAAGATTAATTAAGAGAAGAAAAAAAAAAAAAAAAAAGAAAGAAAGAAAAATTATTCCTTCGATAAAAATCTCGTAACCTGATTTCAAATATCTTTCAACGCGTCTCTCACACACGTATCTCGAACTTTTCTTCGATGTACAGGAGCGGGAAAGATTTCCAAGGAGGAGGGGAGAGGTTAAGTGTTTTCCGGAGACGCGGAGATCGAGAACATCCGCTACTATGTTTCCGCATCGGGGCGAAAAAAACGCGGAGAGGCCATTCGTTGCCCGAGAAAACTAGGGAAAGTTCGTGATTTAAGGATAGTTTGAAAATTTTTCGCCCCTCCTCCTTCCTCCAGCCTGGTTTTCAACACAGGCTGTCCTAAAAATCTTAAAAATAAGTATTTGAGAATTTGGTATAATTCATTCCTTCCCGAGTATTCTAACGAAAAAAAAAAGATGGGCCACGGTAGTGTTGGGTATGTACCGTCCGCTGAGCTTGAACAAATAATTGAGGCAAGCGTTGCCGAACAATTATTGAAAATCGAGTTATACATAAGCGGCGAATAATCTAATTAATTTGAACAAACAGTCGAAGCGAGGTGAACGATTATTGGAATGATTATTTTGAATTACGAACACCAAATGGACTAATTAGTTGTTTGTTAGAGGTGCATACCCAACACTAGCGTCGAAGAGTCTACGTGTTTATTATGTATATTCGTTAATGATGTACAAAGATAAAAAGAAACAGGTTTCATTTTAAATCACGATCAAAGGATAATAATTCAATTTCCAAAATTTTTAAATTTCCCTGAAAAATCCATTTCTCGAAAAAAGGAGAAGAGAAAAAAAAATTGTTTGATACGAAGCAACACAGTTTCGCTTACCCAACGGTTAGCCCATTCCCGATGTTTTTTTCACTTGCCCGGCATTTTGCGCGGCATACTTCGGACAATCAGCATTGTTATTCCAAATAATGCTCCCGGTTCTGGTGTTCTTTTGTGCGGGGGTGGTTGGTAAATGGCGTGCGGGTAGGTCGCATCGTTTTCCCTTGTCATTCTTCCATCCGCCAGTCTTTTATCGCTCGTTGAAAAGGGGCCAAGAGGCAGCGAAAAAAAAAAAGAAAAGAAAAGAGCAACAGTGCCGAGCCGAGTGCAAGCATTCGAGGGGAAAAATTGTGTCGGGGATATATTTCCTATCTATATAAGTGGGAACAGGAAGGACTTCCTCCTTCATCTCTGACTAACTGAATAAATATCCTTTATCTAACTTAATGCAATTCTATTTTCTGTTTGTGTGATTTCGAATTTTTTCTTGATAAGTGGAGAAATTGAAAAAAAAGAAGATAAAAGTAATCTAGAATATTGGTTTGGATACATACATTTTGATTTGATATATTTGAGAGTTGGAATATTAAGAGATGAATTTACATTTTTATAGATCAATTAGATTAAATTATTCGATTACGATTGAAGAAATATCTTTGTTAATCGATATTAAAATATTATTTTTAATATTATTGGAATATTTTTTATTAATAAATTTGATAGAATTCAGTTTGCATTGTTACGAGTATTCCTCTCTTCCTTTTTATCTAATAATCTCAAATTTGCCGTGTCTTGGATAAGCTTCCGTTTAGTAAGCTTTCTTCTAATTGCACTTATGCATTAAGCTTTCTGCACGAGTCGAGTATGCTTTGAAAACATACTTGCTTAGTTCTAGCTAAATGACGTTATTACAACGAGGAGGAGTTTTGATTTTATAACAGGAGATTAAAAAATAAATTAAAGATAAACCACGCGAAAATTAATTATTCGCATAATTTTACATCAATTTCCTATATTTTTATTCATACTCCCGTTGATTATAATGCAATTGTAATTACAATTATCTTAGTAAATGCAACAAGAATTATTATGAAATTAATTCAATAATTTGATTTTATTAATTCAACTGTATATTATGTAAATATTTATACAAATTTCTATTGATCAAATGTTTCATTTTACCCATTTTCTTGTGAATAACCAAAGGGAAAAAGTGAATTGTATTCATATCTGTTTGGAACAGCTGACAAACTAGTATTACTAATATATTGCAGCAAAAAAATACAAGGGGAGAAATATTGTTTTTATTTTCCTCTATTTTTAAATTCAACTTGGAAAAAAAAACAATTCAACAGAATTATGAAATAATTCAAAAAATTTTTTATCTAACGAAGTATACAATAATAATAATAAGAAGAAGAAGAAGAAGAAGATAAGACTAATTTCAGGGAAACAGAATTTCAATAATAAAATGAGATAGGATTGAAAAAAATTTCAACCTCAAAGATCGAAAAAATTTTATCGCGATAAAAACAATGGAACATAAATCACAGATTGACGATACCTCAATCACATTTTTATGACACATACGGGACACATTGCGATCGATGTTTGGATAAAAATGTGACAAGAATATTTAAGCTAAAGACAATAACCGTATTTTGACGTACTCGCACATATATATCCATATATTACATAAAAATTTAATAATTCTCGATTCATTTCCGATATACGATAAAAGAAACATAACATACAACCTATAGTTTGTAATTTAACCAACTTGATCAAACTTGATAATTTAACTTGTAACTTATCAACTAATATCATTGATTGATAAATCATAATATGATTGCAAGAGGACTTTGATATATACAAGAAAATTACAACTTCATAATTCAATTAACTTAGTATTCGTAACTTATTGATTAACTAATATTATTAATTGATAAATCATTTCATTTAAATACATATCTAACCTAACCTCCAATTTATTATCAATTAATCAATATCGTTAAATTATTATATAAGAAAATTGTATCATCCAAATATTATATCTATTGCGATATGAATTCAACGATTCTTGTTATATTTCCGGTTCATAGGGATGAAAAAGGGGTGAAAGTATTCGAATAAATATTTCGGTAAAGTGCAGGGAACGAATCGTTTGCAACGATTTCAAAGTGTGGAAATGGAAGAACGAGATTCCTTCTCTTTCAGGACGAAAATGCACACACGGATCGATGCTTTCGGCCGTGCAGTTAAAACAGAACCGACACGGGGTTGGGGTTTGCCAGGGTTACAATTTAAACGCAAATGTAAACGGCCGGTTTGCTGGGGTGGAGGCGTGCAACAACGTTCATGGCTGGCAGAAATCGATTGTTGCCGTGTCAGTGGCCCATAGTCGTAGCAAGACGGAGAATAATGGAATCTGGGATTAATCGTTGGAGAAGGATCGCTTTTTCGTCTATTTTGCTTTCCAACCTATATTCCTATTTCTCTTATATTCGAAATATGTTCTTTTGTACATGCAATTGACGATACTTTTGATTTTATCGTATGAAGATGCAAGCAGATTGATCTAATAATGGATATAACAAAGTATCTAGACTGTGATCTAATATTTATAAGAAATATTAATCAGAATTATAATAAAGAAAATAAATTGTTATATAAGATGATTATACACTAATAAGTTCTTACCGAGGATAAGGAAATCCTAACCTATCTATCTATTGACATATCTTTTTCTATTGGAGACTATGTTCTTAAAGACTTAACCTAATCTAATCTATCTAATCTATTAAGCTACTTATCGACTAAAGATTTTAAAAGAATTTGTTTTCTTTCGTATTCTTACTTACTTGAGATTATATCCCACGTAGAACCATATTTAATTTCAAACAATTTTATATATAGAAGAAACATATTGAAAGATTCAAAATATTTAATTCTATAGATACACTACCACTCAAAGGACTTATCGATATGGCAGGTTTTTTTTACTCGACATATACAAATATTGTGTTATGTTTATATTAAACTTAATAGGATTGTCAGATGATTACCGTTTAAAAATTTTGGATGGTTTGTATATACGAGCGATATTTATCGAATGAAATACTTGTATTATCACGTGTCACGAGGTTTAAATAAAAGAAACGTGCTTCAAAGTCCCTCTTGCGGAATTCATGTCAAATTAAGAATTTGAATTTTTCTTATTTGACGAATATATGACATATTATATTAAGAACATATTAAATTAAGAAAGATTTAAATTTTATCTTCTCTGAGGTGAGTTAGGAAAATATAATCTGCTTTTTTTTCCATATTCCTATATTATTAATAATTAATAATAAATAAGATTAAATAAGAAAATAATTTCATACATATATGTGCGAATGAAAAAGAACCACCATTTTAGTCGATACTTGCAAAACTTTCCAATAAATTGTAGTATAAAAAAAGTGAAAAAAATATATTCTTATACACGATATTTCCTCAAAATACTATAAAACTTTCGAAACCGATGGTTCTTTAATTACTTTCGAGCGCAGTACACTGGCATCGAAACTTTTTAAAACTATAATGAAAAGAAGTTTCGAAAGATCTGTATCCTCTTTACCATGCAAGTCTTGTCCCCCAGATTTATCGTCTCCACCATCTTCGATGGAGACGAAATTTTTCATAAGATCACTTTGTATCCTTCCTTAAAGTGCAGAAAAAAATCTTCGTCATATCGGCTCTCCCAGATTGAAGAAGAAGGTTAAATGGCACGTTGAAGACATTGCACCTCAGCCGAAGAATCGATAAGTTTTAAACGTAGAACAGATATTCTCTGAAATAAAAGGTTAAACGATATATTATTGAACGATAAAGTAATGAAATATCCTTCGTTTCATTCACTTTCCACCATTTATTTGATAATTAGAGCAATCGTTCAAAATTGCTTTTAATACTATATAAGATAATTGGTAACAATTTTAAGTATAATTCTTGATAATTAACGAAATATATAATAAGTGAAATATTTGAAAAATGAAAAATTAAAAGTAATGAATAATTACATAAATAGATGAATGTTAAATATTAAGATTTAATGGCCATTAATTATAATTGATATTTTTGGCTATTTATTTTCATTGAAACTTTTTTCTTGAATATTTTTTAGTAAATTCGAGTGTTATTGAGAAAATAAAATATTTTTAAAAGTTTAGAATTTTAAAGAAATTTGAGTGGATGAAATAGATTATTGACTTTTTTTTATAATTTTGAAAGTCTATATAATATTGAAAGAATTTGAGTTTAAATTTGAAAGATTGAAATGAACTTTTCAACTACTAAATCTTAATCAAAATTCAACAGCTTGAAATCAGAGAGGTATCAATGTAAACGATGTATCTCTTCAAACACAATTTCTTTCGAGTCTCATCACTTTAAATGAACAAGCATCATTCGAAACAGAACGTTCTATTCAAATTGGTTATCTCTGTTATACCTCTCTCGACGCTTTATAACTAGATTTTCTTTGCTCGTGAATTCTTATAGAAGAAGATGAAGCTTATTCTTGTAAAAAGGATTAGAAAATTGAATGAAATCAGGAGAAACGAATCTTGTCAATTCTCTATTAATTTATTAAATTATATCTTCTCAACAAATTTAATGAAAAATTCATTTATATATTTCAAGATATGTTTCAAAATAAAAAAAACTAAAGTTTTAATATATTTACAATAATTTAAAAATTAGGTATAATTTTAACAAAATTTTAAAATACAAAATTTTTTATCATTCTTTATAACCTTCTTTTTTAAGGATATAAATTACAAAATCTTTTTTGCACATCTTTTTTACAATCACTTTTAAATACATCTTCGTCCAAATTCAAACAAACAAAGGAAATGTTCTGTTTTCGAATTTCTACTTCCGGCATTGTAACTTCTCTGCATAACTGTATATCCTGTTCATGTCAGAATATCCTATATCCAGGCGTCAGTCAACAGTAATTAAACGCTCTGGTTAATTTCACATGCTCATTGTACTTGTCTATGTACGACTTTAGCCTTTGAGTAACTTTGTGATTTCTTTTTGCACTTTGTTAATTCGCGACACGAATTAAAAACTCTAAGTTCCATTGGCCACGGTTCATTCCTCGAGGCTATATCGATATTCAAAGTTATCCACAACAGCAACAAGTAACAAAGTTCGCCGCAATCGATCTAGTATCGTCAAATAGCTTTTCCATCTGTGTGTAAAACTGGAACTAGTGAAAAACTCTGTCGACAGAATAACTGTATATTTTTCAAACGTTTGAACTCGAAGCCGCGAATTATTACTCTTTGTTTTGTCATATACAAAGTATCTTTTTTATCAGGAGATCTAAAGGCAACGGCATTTATTACGTATATCTTTCAACTTGATATTGGTTGCTTTATCACAATAAAAACAGATTTATTTTCCTTGTCTCTATCTTTGTCACGAAATCATTTCATTCTATTTTGCTTCATCTTATGTAAGCTTCAATGAATAAATCAAAATCGACAATATCCATTTTTTTCGTTCGTTTCTTATCTCTAGAATCGATCCTTCAAAAATACATACGAATAGATTAATATTTATATGCCTTATTCTAGAATTTTACAACTGCAATAATAATATTAGAACAATGAAACCTGTCAAAATGATGGATTTCATATTTTTTGGTTTATGATTATTGAGAACGTGAAAATGTTTTTGAAAAAATTATTAATATTCCAATCGACATTTGTTGTCACAATATCGCTTTAGTTACAATCATTTATACTTGTGAAATAGATACTTAGATACTACAAATAATTCTAGTGTTCCATAAGTTATATAAATTTATAAAATATTTTTAATAGATCATAAATAGATCATAAACTTACGTAATTTAATGTCCAATTACTCATAGATGTAACTAACGAGATCGCACCTATATACATCAGTTATCGGAAGATAGAGAGAGGGGCAGGTGTAAGAGGTGGAATTTAAAGCGGGATCGGGAACAGTCTATGTACAGACCGACTTGGTTTCGTGGAGCGTGGAAATCGATTTGTCGTGTTCACGCCCTCGAACAGAAGGGAGACAGAGGATGAATGCAACGGGTAATGGGATGTAGGATTAACCCGGTGAAGAAGGATTGCCCGTTCCTTCCTTTCCGCGAATTACCTTCCTCTACTCGAGGAAAACGCTCCTCGGTAGTCTGGCACTACGGGTTTTCCATGGATGGAAATGTTGCCAACACCACTCTCGCCTTTAAGATCTCCACTCAACTTTTCCTCCGCAGTTTAATCCGCTCGAGGAACGTAAATCTCGAGCATTGCGGATGCTCATCATGGAACACAACGACGACGCGACGAGGATTTTTGATGTCGATGAACGCGATTGAGATGAAGATCGCGATGGAAATTTGGAATTTTTTAGAGATACCGTCTTTGATCTTGCTTGTGAAAATGGTACAAGTAGCGTAGAGGTTAAGAGTGAGATTATAATGAGGGACAGTATATAGTACTTTTTTATTCACTAGGCTAGTAATTATTATTTACTAGCCTAGATTAGATCTAATCTTCATTAGAATTGTAAATATATGATTCGTTGATGTATATCTATAATTTGATCGATTTATGGTAAAATTAAGGATAAAAATTAAAGATAAGAAGTGATGTATGATATTTTTTTATAAAATCTCTCAATGTAGTAATATACGATTTATGATATATAACTGCCTTAACTTTCGTATAGACTAATAGACTTTGAGAGAATCTTATTAGTTAAAAAAAAAGTAACTAGATAGATAGAACAATCTAAAAAAAAATACAATTTCTTAAATAATAAAAAATTCTTCTCTATATACTTTCCAAATTATTAATTTCACAATACAGAACAATATTCTAGGGAATAATTTTTTTTTTAATAAATTAATCTCTAAACAAAATAATATAGTTATTTGTATGCACATCGAGTTTCACATACTAGGAAATTTTCTACTTTGAAATTTATATTGTTAACGCGAAGTAGTTCGCGTAAGTGGCGTTAAGACGTAAATTAGGTGAATTTCGAAAACTCGAGGAATTAATTTAAGGTAGGCGATATTAATTTATGATTACGTTGTAGATCGATAAGTTTCAGGTATTCGATTAACAGTCAACGTCACTGCTTCTCACAGGGACAATGAATCGAGTGTCTCTCGACTTTTAAAGCCGATATTTCAATATAAATATCGGTGATTTAGATTCAAAAAGGGTGCAAGCTTCGTATTCTTGGCATAAAACCAGAAATAGTGTGGCCCACTTGCATTCGTTAGCTCGAAGTGGATTTGTCAGCGCGGGCAACTCGAGTTAGCGCGAAGAAACTGCTTTCTTCATTAAAATGTAGAGTGTTCGTCTTATTACCAGCCATCGTTTTCCATCGTAAATGACAGGTGAACGAAGAAAATGAACAATTTTCATATTTTAAAAATTATAATTACAGATAAACCACAAAATGACAAGATTTTGGATCATTAAAATAATTGTGTATTAATTAAATTAATTTAATTAATATTATTTAATTTATGAACTAAGTAATAAGGTTATTGCGTGAACGAATAATCATATTATCGATATCATGCCTGCAATATGAGTTTCGAAGGCTTGATGTAAATATATTATGACATAATTTGAAACTGTTAAATATATGTATATAAAGCAGAGTAGGAAATATGTGTTACTAGAATTCACGATTTGTCATTCACGATATAACAATAATTTTATTACATGCTTTCTTTTAATTTAATCAAAAAGCAATTTTCAAAATATTAATAATTAATGAAATTTTGTGATTGCACGACAAAGACACGAAATAATATTTCGTTGAATTTATTTTTGGATAAAATATCTTTTTTTTTAACATTATCATTAATAAAAATCAGCTTTTAAATTTTCTAAATTATATATAATTATAAAATATTCGTAAATTAGAGATTTTCTGCTCGTTAAGCCATTCAATTTATCCGCAAATAAAGCTGCCTCATTTCTCTCACTCTCCCGGGAACGTTATTAAAATTACTTTCCATTTGTCGCATGTAACACTGATATTCGTTGCCATCATTATAAAGCTTTTGATTCTGACAAATTTCTCGTCTGTCTCTATTAAAATTAAAGTTAAACGAGATCAAACAGAACAGAAGATTTAAAGAAAGAGAGAAAAAAAGAGAAGAAAATCATTTTTTTCCATATAGAATACTGAGAATATTCTAGACTTAACATAGTCACGTTTGTATGTCAAGTTAACTCGTGTTAATATCTAGGTTTTCTTAATACAAAGTTTCCTTTAGAATATTTTCAAATCCAATTGTATCTTTATTTGTTACATTTTTTCCAATTTATATTATAAATTTGCGATTTTATTATCTAAAAATTACTGAAATTAGAAATTAAATAATTTCAAAAAGTTGTTAAGTAAGATTTGAATCTTTTCTCTTCAAATTTTTCTTATACAAATATATAGATAGTTATTATGTAAAGATTATTTTTTAAAACAATGATGAAAATAATTGGATATAATTATATTTCTATCTGAATATAAATGTTAATTTTATTGACAGTATTTGTATTTTGTAGTGATTGCAAAACGAATCTAAATCAAGAAATTTAATTTAATCTAATATGTGAAGTAATGGAAGAATGGTAACGGAAACGCAGATTTACAAATGAGCGGGAAAATATAAAAGAGAGAACTATCGACGATTGTCTACGATATTCTAGTCAAGACGATGTAATCTCATAAACGTCTCGTGTCTCGATTACATCGAATGGATTTAATTTGTCACCCCTATTGGACAGCTTGTCAATATTTATCAGCTGTTTCCATTTGTCTTATTGCGTCCTAGACGAGAAGGTTCGACAAAGATTATTCTTGTTTTTTTCTTCCTCATTTTCTTCTTAGTTTTATGAAGCATGAGTAAAGTTAATTGTTCTCTTCGAGAATTGCTTTCACAGTCTTGTTTATCAACCTTTAATAAGAAACAATCATTGATATAATTGCAACATTAAGATTATCATTAACATAATTTTGTTTTATTAAATTTTAATAAAATATCTCATTTTTAAAAAGACAAAAATTAAATTATATCATTTTTTTCTGTTAATGTCTATTTGACATATATAACTCAATAAAAATAGAATACATTTTCTTTAAAATAAAAACAAAAAGAATATTCTACTCCATTTCAATCCAAATGAATTCAAAAGGATCATTATATTTAATTTTCATCTAAAGTTATAATAATTACTAGTATATTAATTATATACAAATCAGAAAAGATATAATACTTTGATGATAAATTGTAATGATATAATGATAAATAAATTGAAAATAGAATAATAAATCTTGTTATGTGGCAATCAACATGTTATGCATCTATTTTAAAACTTGTATAATTCATTATATTCTTTCTATTTATTCTATTTATACTCTTTCAAATATATTTAAGAAGTTTGTCAAGAATTATTTTTCATTATCTTTATTAATAAAATAAATATCTAAACCAATCGATTATTAATAATAAAATAAAAAAAATAATTCTTGTCCATAATTTTCATGTTTACTTTACTTTTATTTATTTATTTTATATATATTTTTATATATAATTGATCCTAATTTTAATTTAATTTAAAAGTTTAAGAAAAGAAAAGACCAGGTATTTTTTAAAACCTATCTAAGAGAATTCCATTTTGCAAAACGATAAAAGCGTCGTTAACCAGCTCGTAAAAATGGAGTCGTGAGAAAAGCATTAGATGTCGATGTAGTAAGTAAATTTCTCCGCAAAAAAATCGAGTAACGTCGAAGTTGCAGGATAATGGCGTTTCGCATGCAGCGGTGGAAACTTTTCCTATAACGAACGAAAATAAAACGATTCGAAAGTTCGGCGGAGAAATTGAAGAAAAAATTTCACGTAACAAAGGAGGGAGAGAAAAAGCGCGAAAGAAAATTGTTAAAAAATTTTTAAACTTAAAATGGATTAAATACGATAAGGTTAAATACTTAAAGAGATCAAAGAATTTAATTTACAAAATATTTCAAGATCTCTTAATTTTCTATGCAATCATTAATAAAAAATAAAAAAATTCTATAATTATAATAAAATTTACACGATTTTGAATGAATATTCTATTCTCTTCTATCCATTAAGCAATACCTTTCTGGAAAATTTTTATCTCTGTTAGTAGGGAAAATGAAGGGTTTCAATGAAATTTTATAGAATTTATTCTCATTAATAGCGAAATATTTTTATTTTTAATAATTCACAAAATTCATTTTAAATTTTTAATTGTATCTCAAGTTTATTTACCATTCATCCATTCATCCTAAAATTGAAAAATCGTTAAAATTACTTTCGTACGATTAACAAGATTAAAAAATTTCAATCTCCATCCTTTTTCCAGTTCCAGCAAAAACGACCGGGCAAGTTCTTCTCGGGGAGGTAGACATAGCCGTGCAAGAAGATGGCAGGAATGAAATAACGACGGAAGAATCGTATTCGAAAAAATGCATCGTCGATGAGAACACGTATTCACACGGCCAGACGGTAAGTAAACAGAAATCACGATCACTCCTATCCCTTTCTTTCTTTTCGCTATTTTATTTTATTTTATTTTATTTTTTTTTTTTTTAATTGACTCTCACAATTATAAGGTACGAACGAATACGTGGAACGATGCCAGAGAATTTTGTTTTCACGCGATAGATATACCATGTGAAATGAAATACCACTTTGATAATGTTTGCGTACATCGAGATTAATACACGTGAAATCCAGCAGACGTTTCCATATGTCGACCAAAACGCTTACACGTATCGTTCGATAAAGGGGTTTGAAAAATGCACAGGAAATAGAATATTCACCGGATCTATCGAGCGAGACAATTTCAGCCCAAGTATCCAGCGTTTTATTTTATTTTAAAAAGTAAATTTGTATTTATATAATTTACCATTTTAATTTTTCTATCGAAACGATAGAAAATATTTTAAAATACTGGAAAAAGAATTTTTTTTTAATTTTCAATTTAATTTTTGTTAAAATAAATTGTATTATTTTTTTTTTTTTTTATTAAAATTTTGGTATCGTCACGTTTGAATTTGATAGGAATCAATAAGGAAAATAAATATACAATTAATTGATAGATGTACGAGATAGATACACGTTAATTAATAATAGAGATCAATAACAATGGCGAATAGCTGTGTAGAATCAATGTGCATATGCCAATTAACGCAGTTAACAGTTTCCCGCTTTCGGGAATTGTCTCTCCTAATATTTATTCATTCCTTATCTCTCGTATCCTGTCTACGTATTAATAATCTGGAATGAATATTCGTAGATATATATATAGAGAGAGAGAAAATTTCACTCGATACGTTTGAAATAATATATCCTATGTTTCGGACAAATCAATAAAAAAAAAGTCAGATTCGAATGTGTATTAAAGATATTCGAAAGATATGGAATGCTCGAGCATTCGGACGAAATCGGAAAAAGTCGGGTGAGCTCGGGAAAAATCGGACGGGCTCGAGTAAATAGCGGTAATACCGACCGATCCAATTATTTCATTACTACATTATCAGTTCTTTATATTTGTTCTTTACTTATACATATATTTTCTATTGTGACATATTTTTCGTAATTCTGGCAAACTGGAAAAATTCTTTTAAAAATTCAGAAAAATTGATTAATGTTTCAAATATCTATTTTGAGGTTAAATTTATCTATATTCATAAATATTTTATTCTTTGAATATATAGAGATATTCGATCGTTTTTACTCAATATCTAATTGCCCAAGTATTCTCTTTTTTTCAAGTCTAACAAATATCCTATCCTTTCTATGTAACTGATACAAGTTCTATCCACTATAATTTTCAATCAACCTTTAGTAACTTCCTATCTAGTTCAAAGCTAACATTCATCATATTTCTCATACAAATTCTCGATTACCCTCTTTGAATACAAACGAATCTCTGTTTCACACTGAAGCATATAGGTTTCATGAATAAATCTATGTTGCTATGCACTAAATTAACTCAATTAAACTAAATAACTATAATTAAGATAAAAACGATTTGATTAAACAATATAATAGTTTCAAAAATATCTATATTTAGTCATCTCTGGACCAAAGGCCTATTGTAGAATTAAAAAGAAATTACACTTGTAGCAAATTTCAATTCAGTTTTGTAAATAAATCTTCGATGTATCGTGTGATATCACAGATTCCAAACAAGTTTCATTTTCAGTCGATCGCATTATTACGTTACTGGCTATCTTGTGGAATTTCTCGCAGTGAGACATGCATCTCTGGTGCACGTCGAACAGGCGCGTCACGTTCCAATAATGTTATCGATGTTACCGACCGAACACAGGGATAAACTCGAACGTTAATAACGAACGAATGAACGAACGGAAGGCGATCTCGACAAGGGGCCACTGTGAAAAATGAAATACGTGCAACGAAACGATTATACAGTTCATTGCGATCGTCTCGAAGGTTGGATGCAAGGGAAGGTTGAATGGCAAGTCTCGAACAAGATTCAATTTGTGGACGTGTCTTTTCGGTATTGTTACGTGATATCGATACAAAGTGAATGGTTCTGGAATGTTTATTATTTTGTTTTTTTTAGCAATAAGGAAAATTTTTTTTAAAAGATTTCAAAAACTAAAATTTGAAACTTGTTCTTCACTGAAATTATTTCAATATTGTTTCTAAAATATTTTTTTTTTTTATCATTTAAAGATATCAATTTCGTCGAATTGTATAAAATAACACGAAAAAAAATGTATACAATTGAAAAGATAAGATTGAAAAAAAATTCTGAAAAAAATTAATTAACAAGATCGATATTTACAAGTACTTATAGTATTTCTTTCAATGGTGACACTTCGTTAAAAAAAAAAAATAAATAAATAATTCAAAATCTAACGAAAGCTAGTATTTTCTATATATTTCATTGAAAATTGCTAAAAATAGGAAGAAAAGCGAAGCGTATTAAAAGAGCTCGACGAGTCGACGAAACGTGTCATTAATTACTATATATGTTCCTCTCTTAACGAAGAAACGTGAATCCGTCGCGACGGCGTCGCCTCTCGAAATTCATTGGAAGTCATCCCGCAGGGCCACCATTAATTAATAATATTAACGCTCGACGTGGCATCGACGAGCAAAAGGACATCTTTCGAAAAGAAGAGGAAAAGGGGAGAAAAGAGAAAAAGAGAAGAAAAGATAGCAGATATGAAATCGAATAGAAAAAGGAAAACAAACGGAACAAAATCGAGGAAGCAAAAAAATTAATTTAAAAAAAATATAATAATTATTCGAATTAAAAAAGGAATCGCAATAATAATATAGGAAGGAAATATAAAATCTAATGAAAGAAGAAAGAAAGAAAGAAAGAAAGAAAGAAGAGCGGATCAAATTAAAATTAAAGCAGAAGCAGAAAATAAGAATAATAATAAGAAGAAGATTTGAAATTGAAAAACATTAGGCGGGAATTTAAAAAGATTTTTCTTCTGACAAGTTATTAATTGGATAAACAAAAAAGTATGAAATTTTACAATTAATATAAGTAAAATTGTAGAAATAATTGAATTTGGAACGAAGTCGAGAAAATTCGAGACGATCTCGAAAAATTTAGGACACGTGATCATTTTGTTGTAACAGTTATTACGTTATATAATAATTATTCGAAAAAAAATCGAGAAGAATCGTCATCAAAAAAAAAAAAAATTAACGCAAGTTCAAGCGGCAGAGAAAAAGAAAAGAAGAAAAAAGTGGAGGGTGAAGAGTCGGAGAAACGCCACGAAGTTATTAATTTCACGACGCGACGACTTTCGATCTATTCTCACAGGTGTTGCCCGATAACGCTTCATCCTATTAATTGGACACCTATCTCGAGAGAGGGATTGTTGTTACTCGCACTAACTTCTGACGAATGTCAGTGAAATATTTATAACACGTCGAGAACACTTGCGAAAATATAAAATTCGAACGAAGATTATAAATAAAAGTTCTACTATTCAAATTTAAATTTCTAATTTTTTTTTTATTATTCCTCTTCACGAACGAATATTGTTTATTTAAATCGTAAAATACAGAGATTTAAGCGAAGATTGAAAATTAAAATATTGGAAATTTATATTCTTTTTCTTTTTTTTTTATTTATTCATCTACGAAGAATAATTGTTTATTTTAATCGTTCAAAGTCACATTTATTGCGAGCAAATGTGCGTGGAATACGTTTTCGCAATTCAGATTAATTAGCGATAGATGAAGATCTTGTTAAATCTTAACAAGTACATCCGAATAAGCGCTCTTCAACGAATCACCGAAATACACACATATGTCTCTTAATACGTGAATAAAAAATTAAACGTACATTGTGCATTATTGCAATATCCTTAGAATCAAAGACGAATTCTATTTAAAATGATAAAAAAGGAAAAAATAAACTTTCTGATTTTCATTTACATATTTAATTAATTGTAATTTATGATATTATTCGCTGAAATTACATTTTTATTATTAACTTTATTTGTACTTTTATTATTGAACGTTGCCAACAGTGCTATTTCATGTTTAAGTTGGTACCTACTTGTTTTCTTTCATATGTTTTGTAACAGCGCCACTGTCTCTCAACAATATCCAATCTATCGCTTGAATCTTTTCCCATTTAATTTTAATCTCCCTCGACCTATAATAATCTCTTTTATTTACTATATTTACTCTCTCATATTTACTATATTATATTATAATATAGTAATATTATACACTATAAAATTGTAATATCAATCCTCCACTCGTACTCTCTTTCTCTTCTCTCTCTCTCTCTCTTCTAAAAAGTCCAATCCAAACAACGTATCTCGCTACGGGGATACAAAAACTCACGCCAAACCTTCTCGCGCGAAACGAGCAACGATTTTCGTCCTTCTCCACGAACGTAACAACGAACGTATGAATTTTCTCCTTCCAGATACCGTCGTACGACCCGAACTCTCATTGTCTGTGCGTCGCGGGCGAGGTGTATTGTTGGTGGCAGAATTACAATCCGAGCACCGATCCCTCCGCCGGCCCCTCGTTCCTCCCATCGACCACGATAGAAAGTAATTACACGCCGTCCCTGGAAGGAAGCACGGACGCCGTCGACAGTTTGGAAGCTTCTGGTGATCCGGCGGAGGAGGCATCGCTCGAGCAGCAGCAACAACAACAACAACAACAGCAGGGATACGGGGAGATTAACGCGACTTATTCCTCGACCACGTCGCAACCGGCCCCGACTACGTGTCTCGTGATGGGTAATGGATCGAGCCCCCTCCCCCTCCCCCCTCCCATTTCTCTCTCCCGCGATTCTTCGCCGCGAGATATCGATTCATACACGCGGTTAGAAAGCCGTGGGGCGGAAGGGGGAGGGGTGGGGGGAGTGCAATTAGTGTCGCGTCGCGCGGACGGATTTCCCCTATGCGGAAATATAGGGGAAATATCGGGAGGATGTATCGTTGATCGACTCCCCTTTGTGGCACGATTGATCGGAATGGCAGCGTTCCGGCCCTTCGAGGCACGTCGAGCGATGCTCGATGTTTTGTGCTTAACTGGCTCGTAATTATTGTTAGGATTAGGAGGGCGGGAAATTTAATTGGAATTTGCCAATAATGATAATAAGCTTTTCGATCGAAATTATATTTTTCAAAATGATGAAATACGAATATATTTTATGTTATGTCGAAATCTTCATTCGGAGAATGGAGGAGGGAACTATACTGTTATTGATTAATGAGATATGAGCGTTCAAAGACTGTCACTTAAGACAGTAGTGTAAGATCACGAATGGACTGACTATTTACTTTTTTTAGAAGGGCGGGAAATTTAATTGGAATTCGCGTTACCAACAATGATAATAAACTTTTCGATCGAAATTATACGTTTCAAAAAGATTGGAAAGATGATTTTATTATGAAGTAATCTTCGTTCACTTAGAACACTTAAGCAGTAGAGATCACAAATGGACTCTGACTGTCTATTTTTTTCCTGAAAAGTATTACTACTTGTTCTTTGGAATCAGAGTTAAAGATGAATAAACCGTAATAAAATTAATTCCTTATGTGTCGAGAACTCGTGACAAATGAAAAAGCATATTAGAAAATTTCTCAACGATCTTCTTGAAGCTATAGCGATTCGAAACACCTGTTTGATCCACGAAAAAAAAAAAGAGAAAGAAATACGGTGTGCTGACGGATGCAAAATCTGATTACAGGAAGGGAATATCGCGAGGGCGAGTTACTTCCGCACTCGACCGGAAACTGCATCGAGTGCAGCTGCGGATCCGAGGGCCGCGTCGAGTGCTCGCCGCGGGACTGTGTGGCCCTTCGACCCGAGATACCAGTTGCACCGGACATACCGGACGCACCGGATGGCGACTTCGAAGTGTTCAACCTTGCGAGAGACCGAGGGATCGACGAGAGCTTTTAAAGTGTCCTACGCGTAACGATCGTCGCCTGTTCGAAACGCGAGCTACGTTTTTTTAGATCTTTATTCTTTATTCAGGGATTGTCGATCGATATGAATTATTTATCAATTGAATTTAGACTGTGATTTTAATCTGATTTTTTTTAAAGATAAAAAAAGATTAAGATAGGATATAGAGAGTACAATTTTGAGTGAAAATGTGAAGTATGTATATATATATTTCAAATAGTTTTTAATAGAAGATTGAAAATTTGTTCTAATGCGATAATTAAATATCTATTTCGTTTTAATGATAAGAACAGTTGGCAATAATTTTTTCTAAACGTTTCGAGAGACATATCGTACGCGTATATTTTTTTTAAACGAATATTGTATTTAAAAAAAGACGAATTATTTTCATATCGATCAACAATAATAATTTTGATAATTTTAATTAAACGAGTTTTCAACCGTATATAAAATCACGTTCCAATCGACGAGAAACGGAAACAATTATAGAAACATCTCAACGGGAAAAATATTCCAAATGAATATGATTACACGGTTGAAAAACTTGTAAGTATCGATTAGTTTAATTTATATATATATATATATATTCTTATTCGTGTTCTCTCGAGCTTCTTCCCTCCTTTTGTTCCGGATTGAAAGAGTTTCCGGTCGAAAGGGAACTCGTGAAAAAATCGATTATCGATAATGAAACAAAAGAAACCTTAAACGCTTTCTTTTCGCGCACTCGAACGATTAATCGAGGCGTAAATATAAAGTGAGAGGGAGATCGCTCTTAATTGCGAGGGAAATTATTACATCTATCGATGCGGATTACAACGATGAATTAAAAAAAAAAAAAATGACCAATGGCTCTATTTCCACGTGGTGATAATTATTAGATTAAATTGAGGCCGAATAATGTATTTATGTTCGATTCGATAAGATCGATAGTGAGACTCTAATTAAGTCAGGGATGCTCTTCCGGCATTCACGAGCAAAGTGTAATTTATTATCCAATGGGGGTTTCTAAACGTTTCATCGGCATGGGCCTAATTTATCAAAAGATAGATCCATCATGTTGTACCGATTAATTATTAGACGAATTCTCATCTAGTCACGTTATAAATTTCATTTCTCTGTGTAGATTAATATCGATAACATCGTTGTATTATTATCTACGATTTATTGTTAACAGAGTGCCGATTTTTATGCAGTTAAAATTTAGTCTCACACAGTGTTTTGAAATTATTTGAAATATATATTATATAGAATTTACAAAATTGAATTACCTACATTCTATTGCGTATTCGTGAAATTATTTATATTAATTATATAATTATCTCCTGATAAATTCAGCTCGAGCTGAAAAGAGGCTCTACTCTTTCTTATAGATTGGATCGAAATTATTCAGAATAATTTTTTCAATATTATCTTCTTAAATATTTATCTATCATACAAATAAAATTAACAATACGAGAAGAAGAAAGTACATTTATTTATATATTTATATATAATTTATGTATTTGCGTAAAAATCAGCAGTCTAATTATCACGTAAAAAAAAAAAGAAATCTCGAAAGAATGTTCCTCAGCGCCACGAAAGTACCAAACGATAGATCGATAAGTATTAGATTGTACTTGTTCCATAAGAATTTTCGCTTATTTCGAACATTCAATACTTTCTTTTTAAATCCGAACAGTATTTCTTTTACGTTCCAATGTCGAGACTCGCAAGATAGATCCTCGAGCGAAACAATTTTTCCAACGGACGATCTATCTTCATACGAATCCTCGCGACGATCGTCATCGAGTAATGACGTGATCGAGGCAGAATCGAGGAGCTCGAAGCAAAAAGAAGGCAGATTCATTATAGAGAAATTAAACGAAATTGCTTAACTTCATCACGTTAAAATTTACATTTAAATTTAAGAATGTTTGCTTTCTAATTTTTAAAATAATTAATTGAAATATATTGTTTAACATATTACCGTCTCATTGAACGCATATTTTGAATTATGCAAAATAATACAATATTATACTGATTGGCAAGCAATGATCACCTCTGGGATGCAAAGAGTTAATTTCAGAATCCAGAAAGATATCCTCTGATATCCATGCGAATTCTGAAAGAAATCTAAAGGTTAAAAATCTTCTTAGATACTAGAAGTAAGTCACTACTCATTATTCAGATAATTATGATAAGACATATCGCTTGTACTTAACGCGACAACTAAAGAATCATCAATGGATCCGCCTCCCTTTTGCCGTAAGATCCTCGATTCTTGGCCAGTTTGGCCGCAACTTTTCTATCGTAGACAACCCCGTAGATATTAGCCCGCAGATTTAATTCTCCTCCAAAAATAAGTTAGGGAACGTTCCAGTTCACTCGTCTGTCGTGATTTTTGTACATTGTATTCTCGAGCGAGAACGGGGGAAGGATTATAATTTCCACGTTCGACGACACAGCGATGAACAAAATACAATTCTGTAGATGTCGGCCTACAAATGTATGAATTAATATTACCAGGAAAACCGTGGTCGGTCTGGTGTTCCGTTTTAAGAGATGAAACGTTGCAGAGCTTGATAATTCATGTGCGGTGAGGTCGTCTCTTAGATGACGCTCGTCTACTTCGTCATGCACACACACACACATATATATGTGTATGTATACTAGCCGAGACGTAGTCATATCCTGTTCAAGGCCGTTTCGCTTGGCTCTGCGTCATGAATCCTTGCGACGACCACTTCCTGTGCTTCTGCGAGGTATCAACTGTACGAGGTGTTCAGGAAGTTTATTGACCGATCTGGATTTGGCCTTTGTGAAACGATCCCATTCAACTGATTCCTGTTTGAATACGAAATATCGTTTTAATCCTTGGTCGTTTTAACCAGGAGATTTGATTCCGGAGGAGGTATACTTTAATTCGTGTTTTCTGCGATAAAAATATCTTTTGGCATAATCAGGTAGAAATAATATTGGGAATTCGATGTAATGTAAGGATCGATTAAAACTGATCGAACATTTCGTGCATGTACATCATATCACGAGTGAATATTATAATAAATCATCACTGAAAAGGGAAAAAAAACTGAAGAGTTTTAAGATGAATCGATTAGCGTAGTAAACGATTAATTAAGTAAGAATTATAATTAGCGAAAGTCAAAATGAAAAAAAAGCGTAGCGTGGAGTGAAATTCTCGAGGATATTCCTAATTTCCCTTTCTCTCCCTTTCTTGAATCAAGAATTTATTAAGTTGTCCTAAAAATTTCTTTTCTTATTATTCTCTTTTTCGTATATTTTCCTCTATCTATTTAAAAGCTTCATGATTCTATTTTTAATACGTATTCAACATTCTAGTTTGATTTACTAATAAGAAAAAAATTCTATTCCTGGTTTTCTTTCATTTCGAAACAGAAGAGAAGAATTAGAAAATTTATTTTAAAACATGGTTAAATGTCTTGATCTGTTAAAGTTTGCCGTTCATTAAAATCGAAGAGAACTTTGAGACATCACCTAATAAAATACGTATATTATCGATTAAAAAAACCACGTTATAAGATAAAAGAAGATTAGAACGATACGAAGCGAAAAAAAGTATTTAATAAAAATACGATAGCGTGATTTCATCACCTGAATCCAATTTTAAATAGCCTCCCGATCTATATACCGTATGTATATGTATTGCTCTTAAGAAGAAAGAAAAAAAAAAAAACAAATGGAATCCCGTGTTGTATCGATCAATTATTGATTAATACATACATATATATATTCGTATATATACATATAAATACACGTATGTACACGTATCTATATGCATTACACAAGGAACCAAATTATCAAGAGATAATATTATGCGTATTTATACATATGATATATATATTTAATTATACATAGGAATAGGATACCCAAGCGTTTCGACTTATGCACCTTTTGTAGATATATATCCGCCTATCCGTTTTATGGTACGTTTTTCCCTGTATAATTGCAGCGTTTCAATAATCGAGCTACGTTTGCGAGAGATTATTTCGAAAAAAGAAAGATGGCTCTGGGTTGTCAGCTACACGCATTCTAATAACCTATAAATATAAATGTAATATTGGAAGATAGATGGACCACCTGTTTCAAGTACTCTTGATTCGTTGTTTTCAGAAAATTAAATAGTTTATTATAAAAAGATAATAAAGAGAAAAAAATAAAAGAAACATTTTATTTTTACAGAAAAATCTAAAAATTATTTATTATTTGTGACACGATGAAAGAAAGATTATTTTAATCGAATAAATTTTATTGAAGCAATGGTAAAAATGGTTAAAAGCAATAATAACGATAATTACTATCCTTAAAGACATATCAAGAGAAAAGATCCATCTATTTTCAAATATATATATATATATTATCGTAAATATATTTGATCATCTGAAGAGAATATATCTCAGCGTACAAATAGTTAATGATCTTACGGTAACACCGATTACGATACAGAATCAGATACGAAGGAAGCGAAGGGTTGTAATTATACTTTTATGACGAGTTAATTGTTCATAGTTAGTCGCATAGTTAGGTAGAAATCCAATGTGATATATACATTCAAAAGGTAACTTTGTCTAAAGTTTTACAATACATATATAGGAGAAGAAGACACGACGTCTTATTGCAAGATTTGCCGTAACTTCTATGAACGTTCGTTCAATTAGATGTATACTATCATAGAATATCGAGCAAGCGTTTTGAACGATATCGTCGGGTTCGCTTTTTGCAACGATACAAGTTTACTGTCACACATACACACACACACACACACATGTATTAATCGCATTTTCGTTGAACGAGCCCGCGTAATCACATCATCATGACACGGCCTCTATACTTATATTACCTTTAATGATAGTCAAAATAGAAAACAGGATGATCTCGAATGTTTATGACTACTGTGTGGAATAACGATCGAGACTACTATTTTTTAATTGTGTCATTTTTCGAAGGAATCGCGAACAATCTCTATATTATCGTTTCATAACGATCTATTTCCTCAAGATTCAAATATGAAATTTGAACACATAAAAAAAGGAGGAAAATAAAAAAAACAACAAATGGGAGAAAAAAAATGGGATCATCACGAGATCACGCGGGACCATCATGGCAGTTCGTTTTTCCGTTAATCTTTTTCGTAACGATCTCGTACGTCTTCCAATCATCCCATATACTATACACCATTATATCTGTCTTGTACCCGTGGGATCTCCTGTCTTCTTAAAAAACGCTAAATAAAGAAAGATCTTATGATACGTGTCTTTCAATTTTTACCTATTGTAATTTTACATTTTATTATTTAAAACTCCGAGAATTTCATACTATCCAAAATCTTATTTTTTATTGTCAAATTGTTTCGTTAAGATTATTGATTAAATTATTGATTTTATTGGTTTCATATTAAATTAACTAATTTTTATCGAAATATGTTCGATATCCTATATAATTTTAAGGTTAAAATAATTCATGAATGATTAAAATTAATCCGAGATAACTATATAGTATATATTTAAATATATTAAATATATCATAGAAACAAATGAATAATTTAAAAAAGTATTTATATGTCACTACATGCAAAATTTCGTTTTCGATTTCGATCTTGAAATATATAGTCGTAGGAGTCGTTAAAAAGATCGCGTATATTTTCAAAGAATGCATAAGTATAACGTAATAAATAATTTCTAAAATAATAATTCCCAAATAAAATTTATTTATTTATTTATTTATATATTTAAAACAAACAATCTTTATAACAATATCATAATTAGCTCAACAATATAAAACCGATTTTAATATCGATAGTTCGATAGTTAATAATTGAAGTCGTAGTGTTTATCACGTGATTTGATTTGTAGCAAACTTTACTTATTTCCGAGGAAAGAATGAATCAAAAATCGAATAATATAAAAAAGATAATGAATAGAGGCAAAAAGTGAAATCATCAGAAAATTAGACGTGATAAAAAATATATTAATAAGATATTACGTAATAAAAGTATTATAATTATTTATATATATAATTTACAATACGTTTACTGTTTTATTGAATAAGTGATATAATAAGTGATATAAATGTATAAAGTTACATATTGCATAGTTAATCGAAGAATCAATGATCTGCTTTGATGTTCATTTTTTAATGTGTTTAATTTCATTCTCAATTATATGTAATGCATCTTGTATCGAGTTATTGTAGGAATGTATTTAGTGTGAGATGCATGTATGGATGGAATAGATATATATATTCTATTATATGTATATGTTCTATTGATGATGCCATAATAAAATTATGTATTAATCACGCATGTAAAATGACTAATACAAGAAAACAAAAAATAATGAATTAAAAAAGGAAGAAAATATATGAATGCAAGGAAAGATATTAAAATTTTGAAATGAATGTAAAATGCGAGTATGAGTTAATCTTTAGTGAGCAAGCCTAGTAAATAAATCTGTGAGGAAATAAAACGATTTTGGTAATCAAATTTTCTGAATTTTTCATGAAGAATTTAAATAAAAGTAAATATATTATTTTTGTAAGTGTTTATTTATTTTAACTTATAATTAGTTTTTTTACTTTATTGATTCGTTATTTTTTTATTTGTTAATCGATTACTAAATATGTTAGTATAGATTTTTATTATTAAATAAGTTACGTTATTTTTATTTATATATATATATATATGTGTGTGTGTTAAATGTCAATTTTTATTATTTTTCATAGATTCCTTTTGTATACATATAAATATAAAAATCTATATTTGTTCAAAACAATTAGGCCTCAACTAGTAATATAGTAAGAAAATATCGTGACAGTATAAGTTAGAGTGCGCTGCAATCATAGTTAAAAAAGTTAATTTTTAAAATTACGAAAAAGAAAGCATGTTTTGTTTTAAATAAAAAATATCTTTAAATATTGATAATTTTAAAAACTGATAAAAAGAATGTTAAAAAAAAAAATACTTGTAACAATATAGATGAATACCGATTTGATATCAATGATGTAACCTGATATTAAAGGTTAGGTGTCAAACATTACATATTAGAACGTACATATGTTGAAATATATATTTTTCAATTATATTTATTTCAAATTATTTTAATTATAATTTTTATAAAATATATATTTTTTTAATGTTTCTGTATTATAAATATAGGAAAACATTTGTTAAGATAATTATGTATGTATATATGAATTCATAATTTCATCTTATAGATATATAAATGAACATATTTCGTTATCTATATTAACAGCTGGCTGATATTAAAACATAACATATATACATAAATATATAGATACAAAATTTCCGTTTGTTAAGACTGTTATCAACATAATAGATTTTTTATATCATTATGATTCTTCCTGTGACGTAAATAGGAAAGGAAATCTTTGTTTAAATTAACAAGTTGAAAATTATTTCAAAGTTATCTACAGAACAGTGCAAATTAGAAGGATGACAACTGAAGTCATAGAATCACAACCATTTAAGAATTTACAAGAATTGTATGATAATGTGGATAATCTGAAACAATGGCCTGATATTAAGAAACTAAGAGAATCAACAGATTATGTGTACAATGGTTCAGAAATAAATATACAAAAGATGTACTTAAAAAAATTTGATAGACAAGAACAACCAAGAACATTACTTTGTCATGATATGAAAGGTGGTTATCTACAAGATAGGTAATATGTGTTACAAATTGTTATATTTATTATGATATAAATATATGTTATTTCTAATATAATTTTCTCTTCAGATTTATAGATGGATCAAAGTCTTATGAGTCTTATTTATTTTATCATTGGAGTGTTATTGATACATTTGTATATTTTAGCCATTATTTTATTACTATTCCACCTTATGGATGGATTAACGCAGCACATGATCATGGAGTTAAAATTCTTGGTACTGTAATAACTGAAAAAGAAGGTATATGGGATCTTATACTTATATCTCAGGAGGATGTGAGAAAATTTGCAGATGCATTAATAGTTGTTGCAAAATTTTATAAATTTGATGGCTGGTTATTAAACATTGAAAATGTGATTAAAAATGAACAAATCAATAATTTAATTTATTTCGTGAAATACCTAACAGATAATATTCATGAAGCAATAAAAGATTCTGAAATTATATGGTATGATAGTGTGACTAATGAAGGAACATTAAACTGGCAAAATGAACTTAATAATAAAAATATGTAAAATTATTATTTCTATATTTTTATAATTATTTTTAAATAAGTAAAATTATTTTTTATAATTATTTCTATTTTTTATGTTTCAGAGACTTTTTTTTAAATTGCGACGGTATTTATTTAAACTACAACTGGAATAAATCAAAATTAGAAAACAGTTATGCACTTGCAAAAAATCATAACAGAAATGTTCATGATATTTATGTAGGACTAGATGTTTGGGGAAGAGGATGTCCTGGTGGTGGTGGATTTAATTCAACATATGTAATTATAATATTATATATTTAAAAGAAATAATTATTTAATAATAATCTAATTATTATAATAATTTCCAGGCTTTACGAAAAATACGGCAAGAAAAACTTTCGGTCGCAATTTTTGCTCCTGGTTGGACTCATGAATTTTTCGGATCCCAAACATTTCAAGAATTAGAAGATTTATTTTGGGCACAATTATTTCCTTATTTATATGTTCATGTACTTATCTATGAAGAAGAAATATTTAAAACATCATTTTGCCGTGGAAGTGGTAGTTTGTATTATAGCTGTGGTGAGGTATATTAAATATTTGATATTGTTTTTTGATAATATTATTTAATAAACATATTAATGATTATATTATTAAGTTAAATAAATTGTATTTATTAAACATATTAATATATAAATCTTTTACAGATACAGTTAGACATGCGCATTGTAGAAGGTAAAAATATTTGGGAACAAAGATCATTTTATAACTTATCCAAACAAATGCCACAAATATCTGTACCTATGCCACATTTGCAATTTACATATGTTCCACAACTTCCTGAACCAAAAAATGAAAACGATCGAAATGAGTGTTCAAAACAACCGATACAATATATCTACGAAACAAAGAAAAACGTTATTCGAATATTAGAAAATGTGATAAATATTCAAGACAAAATGCCAATATTAGACATAAATTGCTTCGAATTTTGTAATCAATTTTCTTTCGAAGGTGGTGGTTGTTTAAAATTAATTACGAATGATCTTAAGTCGTATCATAGGTAAAAATTTTATAATGAAATTTATGATAATTATTTTAAACTTAATTTATATATAAATATAATATAAATTTATAATTTAAATTATTTATAGATTATTTCTTGTTCATATTGAATTCCAACAAGACATTGAAGCAACCATCATTTATGAAGAAATGATATCTTCTATGACGAACGGAACTCGAAGTGAACCAATTTTAATTTTGGGCAATGACACTGGCTTAAAATCTATTATCCATTATAAATCAGAAAATTTAAACTCAAGATGGAAGAAATGGTAAATTTATAAAATTTAATTTAAATATTTTAATGATATAAAATAAAAGATTATATTGAATTAATAATATAATTAATAATATCATCATTCAATATAACGAACATCTTAAAATTATTTTTGATTCTCAAGAGTCAATACCTTTAAGACAATTTTATGCTATACTATATTCTTGGGATCTGCCATTCCGAAGTACGATAAACTAGGACTCGAACTTACATCCTCAGATACAAAATAGAGTTTCGAACTTAAACCAACGAAGGAGAACTTTCAAATAAACGTATGATATAATTCGCGAAATTTATTTATGCGCTTTTTAATCGAAGTGATTAATTTCACAAAACAAGAGATCTAAAAGTATTAAATATATGGACTAGCAAGTGAAATATATATTTATCAAATATTCAAAAAGTAATGTTCATATCAGCGAATCAATTCCATATTTGTCCAACAGAAAATTTTCCTTTTTGCCGACAGTGTTTATCTGACGAATATGAGGACTGTGAATGAGATCGGTATATCTTTCGAAAAGAAGAATATCTGTTATCTAGGAGAGATCATTCTTGAACAAAAGGGACGACATCTGAACTGTAAGTTTACCACTTCGTAATGTATACTATCGCTTGCATTTTGTGCTCTCTCGAGAAATGTAACTATGTACATAACAGGTGGATTGCGTCACGATAAAAGTGTATCGCAAAAGAACGAGGTTCTCGACCGTGTAAAGAACCGTTCTCCGATTATCAGATCGAGTTGCGTACACCATTTCGCCTTTGAGAACCACTTTAGTGAAAGGAATACCGACGTTCCATAGAACGCCTATTCAATATAACTTATCGCTCGATATTTCACAGATCGATTTCGCGATTATACGATAAGACCATTTCACATTTGATGTTATTAGTTTGAGATCATAAAACTAATTCTTTTTTTTTTTTTTTCTATGATTTAAATTTATGCTCAATTCTCACCTGCAATTTCGTACTTATTCGTACCATTCGACTTATCGTCGATATTATTGTCACGATGCAAAAGTGTCTACATTCCGCGGCCGATAATTTGTTTAATAGAAGGACGAAAAATATCGGAAAACCTTCTTGTATGGAGAACGAACGGGGCTTTAAGAACGAGGTCACGACACCATAACTTCTAGTACTTTTTTCATTCATTAGTCGCATTTCATGCGTTATGCGTGGATTATGTTTGACTTCGATTCATTACTTTTGATTGGCATGTAAACTCAGAAATTTCATTTATAATATTTTCTATTTTATAATTACAATATTCCATAATATATTCATCTTATAGTACACTATAATTCATATTTTATAGCATTTAAATACGTATTATAGATACTATGAAATGAAAATATCAAAATCTTATTGAAAATTTTTATTTTTTATCTTGAATTAATTTCTTCTTAAGACTCGTACATATTTTTACTTACTAATTAGTAGAATCTTCGACCATGAAAATATTAATCATGTCAAATGGAAAGTTCTTCATGACGCAAGCTGCATAAAATATTAAATAACCGCATTAGCCTTAAAAAAAATTGTGTCATTGTAACATTGTATTAGTTTGCTGTGATCAAAAAGTCATCGATAATTTTTGCAATTGAGTAGTTCAAAATTCACGACACTGCACAATACCCACTTCAAAACGAACGGTAGTTGTAAGGAGGACAATCTGGTTGGGATTATTCGCAATGTATATGTTGATGCGAAATATTTGCAACAGTGGAATGTAGTAATATATTTCATGTATTCCATTTCAATTTTAAATTAGTTATAAATTATTAATCCATCTTCTTAAAATTCATCATATTAGAAAACTTACAACAATTTGCTTAATTTATTATTATCTTAACACAGTTGTATAATTTCTTTGTTATTTTTCTTCATTGTTCTTCGATTAGGTTAGGTCAGATTTACAATAATAGAAATTATTTCAGATTCGCTCTTAAATTGCACTCAACATGTGAAAAAGGCAATCGCTTAAAATTCGGCTGTGTAATCGATGCGATCCAATGATTTGTCGGAGCGTAGGCCAATACCGTTGAACCGTGACCAACAATCAACAATTTCACTGGTTACAGTGATAAAGTTAGCGCCAACAATTTTCAGGCGTGCAACAGTCACTAATGGGACACCATTCATTACGGACCTCTAGATGTTCTCGAAGCAAACAAGTCATGGGCCGGTTGCTCGTTGTTTTAGCAGTCACAGCGCAAATGAGAGACCCAAATTACGTTTTCGGGCTGTTATGTGTCGCAACAGCGACTATTTGTAATCGGAGAATGTGACCAGTTCATTGATATTCCTGCGGTTATCGGGTCGAATTTTTTTGCGGTTCTATACCTGCTGTTACACTTTGCATTATAAGACTTCTTTTCTATTTTTTTTTTCTTTTTCTCTTTCTTTCTTTCGCCATGTGTTATTTCACTCGTCAGTTACATCAAGTATATACCTTCGCATTTTAATACATACAATTGCTTTCGATTTGCATGTAACCTTTTCGAGCGCATTGTTTTTCGATTCGCACGTGGGTATCATACTTTTCTACTTACATTATGTATAAGTCATATATATTTGAACAGTTTGGTCAACTGGTAACGGTATTTGAATTTAACCAAAATGTACGATAAGATCGGAAGAAAACAACCATGAATTATTTGAAAATTATTATTTTTATTCTTTTTCTCGAGTCAATTGTCACTAATACAGAGCATATACTTTTTTGAATATGTAATTTTGAAAAAAATAAAATAAAATTTATATTCGGAGAATTTTATTTCATAAAAATATTCCATCATAATTTTCCATCCAGATCCTCGATTATCCTCAATCGAATCGATTCGGAAAGAAATGTCAAACACGCTAAAATTTGTCCCAAAGCCACAATGTTGGGAGTGAACCGGCGTAAAAATAAAATTCATTTCACAAGTGGGACGATAAACGGTACCAAAACGATTGCGCGATCGAATCTATTCGAAAATACGATGAAACGTGCAGCAAAATAATGGTTCGTTATCTGTATACTAGGTGCTCGTTCGACAACAAGTATAATATTTTTAGGATCCTTGATATGACGTTTAAATTACCTCAAGGATGATCAGGTCGTACGATTTATGAAACGTATAATCAACTATGGCGGTGATCGGCTGTTGTCACGGTCGATAAAGCGAAAGAATGTCGTCTCTGGCCCTTAAGATATCGCATGGATGTTCTTTCGCAACTATTACCATGAGTATCTTCGACGTTTCTTTCATCGCTATCGCGGCCGTGTTTACGACAGAAGATCGATGACTCTTCTCCCTTCCGTCATCGTGTCGGCGCATCCTCCACCTTCTATCAGCGTGTAGGAAGCAACAAAGTGGGTGTTGAACTCCGTTAGAAGCGTTTTACGGGAATTACCACAACCTTGAGTGCATTCTTTGAAGAATGCGCTTTCTTCGCGCCCATTCTTTCATGCGATTTTTCTTTATTCGTGTTTTTTCTTTCTTTCTTTCTTTCTTTCTTTCTTTTTTGTTCGATTTAATTCTTTTTGCTTGAAATGTCAATTTGCAAATTTGAACGTTTGAATAATTTCTTAGTTGCATCACCTCACCTATGAAACGTACTATATAAAGTAGCTATTATAGAATAATGGAAAGTGAAATAAATTTTATTTCAGGTCCCATTTCTTTAGTTACATACATAAAATGATGCACATAAATGATAGATAGGAATTTACATAAAAATGGTGATAATAAATGAAATACCGGTTGTTCTTTTGAATTTCTGAGATGTTTGAATCATATTCTAGGATTGCTAATAACTTTCTATTGTTAGTTGAATGAAATTTTCAAGGCCTCGCTCGGCTATGTTCTTTACAATTGTTAATTTTCTGAGCTCCTAAATGTAAATTACTTTTTTATTTTTTTTTCTTTTTTTCTTTTTTTTTTTTTTATTATATATATATATATGTAAAAATATGCTTCGACGAAAAATTTCAGATCATATCGATAATAATTTAATAACCAATTTATCTGGTAAATTAATATAAAAAATGCAATTAAAGATGCTAATTATAAAACAATTAATGGAGATACGAATAAAAGATATGAGTATCTAATGAATAGAAATGAATAATATGATAATTTGAACCTTAAAAGAAAAAAAAGAGAGACGCGTATATTTATAATTTTATTATTTTAATTTAATTTTTTCGAAACTTGAACTTTTACGTGACTTTTGATTAATTTTCTTATAAAATTTTCGCTTCTTTCAAAAGAGATTAAAAAAAGTGTGGAGTATTTATATGTTTATTGGCAATAATTTATCTCTCGCTAAGAAGACATGACATAATTCTTGCTTCAGAGGTTCAATGACACACACTTATTTCTATTTCACTTCTATTGGGTCAACGACCAAATAATTTCCCGGTGAAATCTTAGAAACATCTCTGCACAGCATTTCAATTGCTATCCACTGTTTTACTGTGTAGTGCTTTATTTTCAAGCAAAATATATTTGTCATGTAATGACAAAGTGTATATCAAGTAATAACAAAATTTTATTCAACACATAAATATCTTTTCTACATAAAAATTATAAATAACAAATTATAATGGAAAGTTTGTCTAACAGTTTAATCGATTCGTATTTAAAAAAAAAAATAATTTTTTTCTCACTTAGTAAACACACCGCATTACCTATTACAAAAGTTATTTAATAAAATTTTATTGATTTTAAAATAATTTTTCCCTTTCGTTCATCCTATAGAGAATTGGTATAATTTTGCAAACAATTCAATTATCCAATTTTTTTCTTATTGCCTTAATTTCTAAACCAGACATTTATCAATGTACACCGTGTATAAAAGTAATAAAATTTTATAAGAAAATATCTCACTTATCCATAACCATTATCACCATGCCGCCAAATAAAATTCTATGATGTTACACGATTCAATCCATTTCTACTCTATTCTCTTTCAGAAAAAGAAAGAAACATTTTTCACCAAGATACTACATTCACGATCTCGCATTACAGGCTGTAAAACCTTCATCAACGAACATACAATATTTTGATCCAAACCTCTAGTTACAACCACTATTTCTCCAAGGCTTCCAACTTCCGCCTCTAATACTTCCGTTCGTCGCTCTCTCTCTCTCTCT